GGAACATACTGTCTCCACGCATACATTTTTCTACCCACATATAAGTCACTCCCCTCCACCAAATGTAGATAGAAAAATGTATGCGTGGAGACAGTGTGTTCCGCCCCCCCTTCGGGGGGGCTCCACTTCGTTAAAAATAACCCTACCCACCCTATGTCAGAGGTGTGGAGTGGATCTCGCTTGCTCGGTCAGTCTGCACCGCGAGAAGAAGCGTGCGCGCGCGCGTGTGTGTGTGTGTGTGTGTGTGTTCAATCCGTACCGACCGTTGCGGGAGGGGGCAGGTGTGACCTTGTAAATGAAAATGGTAGTTTGTTTATGATTTTAAAGGTAGCTACACAGGCATTTTAATAAAATGATTCTTGCGGGGAATTACTCAGAAAACTCTCCCCTACAACATATCTAAGTGGCGAGGAAATCGGTGAGGTGTGACCTTTTCTGCATATTTACCAAAGTTTCATGCAGTTTATGAGTTTCATTCTATTCTTTTTACCAACAAATATCAAATAACCACAAAAAAATCGATTGTAATAAATCGATGCAATTCGATATTTGTCTTATTCAATTTTAATTGAATGTTATATAAATATAGAGATAACATTCAATGAAAAAAATATATAAAACATTAAATTTTTATGTACATAAGCTGTGTGTGCGTATGTAAAATATAAAATTTAAACTATATAATATTATTGCGTACGATACTATATCTCTTATATTGAGATATTATTGTATGTATAATTTAATAAGCATACGACGAAATGAAATTCTTAGTCCATCTAAAGCTATATACCATATGATGAAAAATTATATAGAATATGTGCAGGATTATTCTAGTCTCAAAATTATATGAGATGATTAAGTGAAATGGTTTAAATGTACCATATTACAGCGAAAAGTTACTGACATTCATATAATAATTAGAGAATTGTGATAGAATTACAATATAATGTTATGAGTAATAGCGAAAAGATAACTTTGCTATCCATTACGCGGCTGAGGTATGCAAAGTTCCTCCAGCAAAAGTTTTATAGTTTTCATCGATGTTTGCCATATTTCGCGTGGAGTATTGGGCGAGGCCTTTTTATAGAGACCGCGGAGTCTCTTAAATTTTCTTCGATATGTAAGATGGAAATCTCCTGCCATTTCTTCGTAAGGATAATAAATCCTATCTGCTTCAGGTGGTGCGCACGCACCACACAAGAGACGATGTCAGTATACCTCTTTTCGTATTTTCGCGTTGCCCATGACGATGCTCCGAAGGGAAAACGGTGTAGATTTATTCAGACTCCGTTCCCGTAAAAACTCTTTTACATGACGAGAAAAATGAAGATCGTGCTAGTAGTGTATAGTCAATAACTTTTAACTTATCAGCTTTTTATAAGTATTACTCAATGTTCGAAAAATTTATATCAATTTTCAAACTGGTATCGATTGTGACAATTACGATATTGAAAGTGATAAGAATCAAATAATTTTCTAATGCTATATTCAATAATATTTCAAAGTTATCATTTTTCACATTATCTAATGAATATCTTTCAATATTCTTGTAAAGTTTTCTTTGGATTTTTCCTCATTGAATATCCTTTAGATACTTCGGATCCGTTATTGAAAAAAATTGGAACATTACCAATAGATTTTATTTGATCCAAAAATACGGTTACTTCGCATGATTAACATCGTGTCCAATTTTACGCAGAGAGAAGCTTATATCAGATTGAACAGAATAGGAAAAGAGACAACCAGAGCATTTGCATCTTTATGTCGAAATATCACAAGCACCTTTACAAAGTTACAATTATACCATTACAAAGAGATCGTATAGAGCCACTGACGCATTGGACCATGCTGTAATAATAATGTAACAGTAGGAGAAATTATTAGCGACAACGATAGCGCATATTTTCAACGACCCACTGCCCCGGAAGTAAATTACACAGGGCTGGTGATGTATAATAGGTACGCAGGAGCTGGCGAATAACGATGAGTTCACTCACGCGTATGCGCGTATACAGGGTGTTCCAGAAGGAAAGGCCAATATTCTGGGAGACGATAGTATCGGTCATTCGAAGCAAAAATGTTCATATGAATACATGTCTTATTCCTTACTGTTGCCAAGATAGAGCTACTAGATTGTCTCGTGTGATTAATTTTTTTTCTCTACACTTCATCCTTCATCCAACCTCATAAACGTCTGCGAGAATTTACTCGTATACATCTGTGACTGTTGTGCTGATAGCATTGTAGAAATGTTCAAAATGCCTCGCATATTCACAAATGTCGAACGAGCAACACGCCGTGTTCACACAAGAGTTGAACAATGCCTTGTTGTTAAAGGTGGAATTTTTGAAAATTTATTATGATCTGTAAAAATGTATCACTTGAACAATAAATATTAGAAATAATACGTAGTATCTCTTTCTTGTCAGTAATTTTGCAACTGTACATTCAAATAGCTCTATCTCGGAAACAGTGGGGAATGGGACATATATTTATATGAGCATTTTTGCTGAAAATGACCGATACTATCACCTCCCAGGATATTGACCTTTCCTCCAGGAAAACCCTGTATATCGCTTTGATGCATTATCGTGATTGAAAATCATCAGCCAGGGAAATAGCCCACGTTTGCGACATACAATCGAGCTGGGGTTTGAACCGTCTACCGCGCGCCCGTTAGTCAAACCAACGCCAACTACCTGTCAATAAACACCGTACGAAATGTTTCGTGCCGCCACGCTACACAGAGCAAGTGCGGTGGTGACTGATGTGTCAATACGTATACCGCATGTTGTATATTAGATCGGTGGAAAAGCTTTTTTTCGGCCAGTTTCTTGCAGATATTGGAAATGGATTCAGCCAATGGGAGGAATGCTTCTAAAAACATGTATGTATATCGAAAGTGCGAAATTGGCTCCTTTTTTTAGAAGAAAAATTACATTATTTACTATTGCATTATTGGTTCAGGTTTTCTCTGATTAATCTGAGATCACTCCACATTTTATTGCACGTATTACACATGTTTATAATCGCGTATTATTCTTTATGACAAAGATGTTTTCCAGTTTATTTCACAAATATCTACGAATAGTTTTCATATGAGAGAGAAATCGAATTTTGCGTATGCTGAAAGTATGAATAGATGTTTTGAAATTCTTTTTTAAAGAATCTTTTTTTAATCGTGTATACACGTACACACACATATTATTTACTTATTATTTTTACTTTATATTCCGCGCTCTTTATGTCCAGCTCTAGTCAGTGCTCAGAGAATTTGTAATTTTCATAAAATATTCATGGCACGTAGATTCGACATCGATGACGACCAATTGTGAATTAATTCAACCGCTATAATCCCATCATTTGTCCAAATTATTCTCCGGTCCTTCTCTCTTTCAAAGCAAATTTGTTCTATTCAGTTTTATCGTTTCATTAGTCATAAATGTAAACGTTAAAAAATTTCCATGACGATCGTAATTTCATTACGTAATACGTAAACTCGTGGTAATGAAGAAAATCAGAATTATTGAGCTATAAAAAAACGATCAGATGTTATTATAGGTCTATGGTAGGATGAAATATAGTTGCGGAAAAGCATATGCCAGGGAAACGCCTCTTGAGAAATGGCTGCGACAGACGACTGAGTTCAGTTAGCGTGTTTTACTTGTTACAGCTTTGCAGCTTTGAAACTCGGAGAAAGTTGGAAAAGCGTGC